CTTGATCTTCCTGAACTCATCGCAGTCACAGAGGATCAAGTTCATGTGCTTGTCAAAAGCCTTGAAGGTGCCGATGAAGATGCGGCCATCCTGCAGGATGCAGCGCATACGGTAGTCGATGTGCTGCAGCATCTTGCTGCTCTTGCCCACCGTCTGCATGGGAAAGGAAAGTATGCAGCCGCCTGCACAACTGAGTCTCATCCCCTTGTCATTCCAGCGCCTGCTGCAGCACAAGCTTGGGCTCTAAATAAGTGTCCCTTGAAGCCCTGGCAATACTGCTCTCTACTCCTCAAAAGCATTAGGCAATTTTTTCATAAAGAATTATTTTTCCAACAGAGATCATCCATGCTCCCTTTTATAATTTCCTTCACTCCCTAAATACTGTTTTCTGCTACAGAACACTTGTCTCTGTGCACATCCAAGGACAAATTCCGATCTCAAAACTGCAGGTTTCCACCCAATGGAATAGTAACATGGATTATCTTGTAGCTCTCCAATCTCATATCCAGCATACCAATATACCTTTTCTTCTATTTTTGTTTCCATTAGTCACTATTTAACATTTTATCCTGATCACACAATTCTGATAATTAAAAGGAAGGTATGTTGCTTCTCCATTAATTTAATGTGATGCTTTGCATAACCATAAAGTAAGCTTTCCAGGAATCATGGTTCCTAACTGTAACCCAGCATCTGGGAGACTAAGGCAGAAGGATCACTACAGCCTGGTGGACAAAGTCAGCTCACAGCCAGCCTGAGCTACATAGCGAGACCCTGTTTTAAAAAGACAAATAAAGGGGCCGGGGAGATGGCTCAGTAGGATAAGCGCTTGACTGGTAAACGCAAGGATCTGAGTTCAATCCCCGGTTCTGCCAAAAATAAAAAATAAATAAAAATAAAGACAAATAAGGGCCAGGGAGATGGTTCACTAGAATAAGTGCTTGCCTGGCACATGCAGGGTCCTGAGTTCAATCCCTGGTACCACAAAGAAAAAAAAAACACTAAGCTATCTCTCAGTCAACATCCAATTTTCATCCCTTAGAGGTGCTATTCTTTTATTTTCTTTTTTTTTTTTTTGGTGTTTTGAGACGGGTTCTCACTATGTAGTAGTTGATGCTGGCCTTGGGCTCACTCTGTAGCTCAGGCTGCTCTCACTGATCCTCCAGCCTCAGCCTCAGCTGCTGGGATTTGAAGCGTGCTCCATCACAGCCAGAATTGCTGTGTCTTTGCATTGGAGAACACACGCTGTCACAATTTCAATCACAACACTGCGATGAGAATGGCATCCATCCATCCATCCATCCATCCATCCAGACTGCATTCTGCTACAAAAATTAACTCAATTCCTATGCACTTTCCCCATACGTCAACAGGTATAACCCGGGCTTACCTGAGTCATTTATCTGCAGAATAGTTCCTTAAAACTTTATTCCTAAGTTTCTTGCTTTCACTTTTACACTGTTAGTGCCATGGGCCACAGCACTGTGGCCTTGCGAATGCTGAGCAAGCCCGCTCCTGTTAAGCTGCAGCCGCATCCCTTGAAGCTCTGTGCTCTCCTATCTATGACATCTCGTGGCATGTTTCCCCAACTCTCTTACTGCTATAGCAGCATACCGGGTATCACTAATCTCCACTTGTTCCAAAAGGGAATCGGCACCCACCTCTACAAATTCTCCTTTATAACTTCTTTCAGCACTCTAAATCAGCTAGGTCGCTGAACCTCTAAAGCAACTTTCCAACTGCCTTCATAAACATCTTACCATGATTGCTGTTTCACCAAATCCAGTGTCAACGATAAAATTTCAGGAGCCTTAACACCTAAGGTACAGCTATAAAGGTATGACGCAGGTTCTCCTACAGACAACGCAAGGTGTTCAGATGTTTCACAACCAGCAGGTAAGAGTCTGCAGAAGAAAGTATGTTATAGTCGCACTGCAATTCACCATGATTTTAAAAAGGTGATTTTAAAAAAGTAATTTTAAAAAACAAATAGTAACAAATAATTTTTAAAAATTCAACACATAGGGGCTGGGCTGGTGAGATGGCTCAGTGGTCTAAAGCACCTACTTAGAACAAGCTTAGCAAAGCACAGGGACTGCTGTTCAATCCCCCAGCACCACATGCCAGCCAGCCCGCCCCCTGGTGGGCTGAGCTGGCTACACACACATATAAATAAATAAAACGTAAAAAAAAAAAATTAAAAAAAATTCAACACATATTCCCAAACAGACTCAAAGGAGTAATATATTCCATTAGTTTTTTTTATCTAAAACTTTACTTTACACTTAGAATAATGAATCTCAAAAAAATCATTGTTTCCAGATTCCAAAATTTACCATCTCATTTAATACTGAGGTATACTTGAAACTTTATACTTCTTGACTGAACCATATAAATGCTTCCATGTCCATATTTTCCTTAAAAACTTTTCAATATTAGGCAACTTTCCTCTGTAAGAACCAACTATGTTATGAATAAGCCTAAGAGAAATCTAGCCAGCACCAAGCAAAGTCTTCAGCTTGACCATCACTCATCATTGACTAAAACATAAACTGTATTCCTTTTATATCAAAATTTGGGTGTATGGGGCCAGGGAGATCACTCAGCAGAATAAGTGCTTCCCTGGCAAGTGCAACGGCCTGAGTTCAAACCCCAGTCCCCCCCTGAAAAAAGTCAGGGAGATGGCTCAGTAGAATAAGCGCTTCCTTGGCAAGCACAAGGGACTAAGTTCAATTCCCGGTTCTGAAAAAAAAAATTGGGGTATAAGAACAACAATAGTGGAGAACTACCTGCTCAGGTCCCCCTCCTATCCCTCTCTTGGACAGGAGCTTTCTTTCTCTCAATAAATATATTCTGCTCATTAAAAAAGAACAACAGGGGCTGGTGAGATGGCTCAGTGGTCTAAAGCACCTACTTAGAACAAGCTAAGCTAAGCAAAACACAGGGACCGCGGTTCAATCCCCCAGCACCACATGCCAGCCAGCCCCGCCCCCTGGTGGGCTGAGCTGGCCACATACACAAAATGAACAAATAAATAATTCTTTTTTTTTAAAAAAAAAGAACAACAGTGGCATTTTTCTGAGACAGGGTCTCCCTACGCTATTTAGGCTGGCCTTAAACTCACAATGTAGTCCAGGCTGGCCTTAAATTCACTGAGTTTTTTCAAGTCCTGGTGTGACTACAAGAGTACATCTCCACTAACAAGTATCATTTTAGAAACAAGTTAACGTACCTGTAGTGTCATAAATATAAAGATATCCAGTGTGCATGTTCTCCACTGTTCAACAGATAAACATCAAGTAAAACTGTTGGGCAACACTCTCCCTGTTGGGAGTTTGATACCAGGAACTCTCGGATGGTAGAAACACCAGTCATGAAAGAACTGTACCACCAGCGCCTTCGTTAGGCAAATTTTGAATAATGTGCAATATTGCAGCATGTGAAAATCATGTAATTGAAATGGTGCTTAGAAACATCAGAACAAAGTGAAAAAAGTAGGTAAGACTAATCATTTAATCAAACAGTGGTATGAAATAGTTCACTTAAGTGTATACATAGCAAAGAAAGTTTCCTTATGATCAATTTTTTTCAGACAGGGTCTCGCTATGTAATGCAATCTGACCTCAAATTCCTGGCTCAGTCCCCCAAGTATCTGGGACTAGAGGCATATAAGTACAAACAGCATTGATTCCAAATAATATTATGGTTTATATAAGATGTGCCGCAAAGCCGCATGCTCACGGTGGCGCTGTGTGAGGGAACTACATCATGGGCAGGATGCAGGATTAGTCCACTGATGACTGATACCTGAGTGATGTTGAAAGATGAAGTCTGGTGGGAAGAGGTGGGTCACTGTAGGCGTGGCTTGGAGTTATATAGATATATGGATAAAGATACATAGATATAGATATGGATATATATAAATATCTATATCTATATATCTATATCTATATATCCCTCCATTTCACTTGATGGCTGCTGCTTTCTGCCTGCTAATGTAATGCCATGTAATTCCTTCTCTGCAGTGCCGGACTGCCATGTCACCCTGCCTTGGAGTCAACCCACTATGGGCTGAAATGTCTACACACTGTGGGCCAAAATAAACCATTCCTTTTTTAAATTTTTGAGGGTCACATTCACATATTTTGTCCTAAAGAGAAAATAGGACATAGACAACACAATTTATAGAGATAGAGAAACCATAAATTTCACTTAGAAATCAGAACACATGTTCACATCCTACAGTTGTAAAAAGGAATTTCCCTAAAGAAATTTGAAATTTTAGGAGCAGTTACTTCTCATTCCTCTATCTGGCAAACCACAATTTTTAACCCTAGTTAACGGTGAGAAAATAAACATTCTGCAGAATAATCAAATTTATCTCTAGCATAAAGGGGGAGACAATGTTGCATGAGGAAGAGGACAGAAAGAGCAGCAGCATCAGACCGATGGATGGACGGTCATGGTAGATCTTCTCAGACTAAAGACACATAAGCAAAAAAACACTCTTCTGCCATCCAACACAAAAGCAAATGCTTTCCAATTTTCATAAAGTATGAACTTGTAAGTGTTCAAAATGCACTCAAATGAAAAGCTACTTTAAATCAAAACAAAACATGATTATTCTCAGCCAAAGCACATGTAAGAAACAAAAGCCCACAAAATAGTTCTCTATCTTTGCTCATTGACTCAGTTAAGAATTAACTGATAGCATGGTGGCAAACACCTGTAATCCCAGCACTCAGAAGGCTAAGAAAAGAGCACCATGAGTTGAACACAGGCTACATGAGAGACCCTGTCTCAAAAAAGAAGTGCAAAAATTTAGAATTTTAGGTTGTCATACAAAGATCCACTACAGGAAAATGTGCCAAGTAAAATTATTAGTACGAAAATACAACTAAATAATTCATCCATAAAATAATGTCAATTAAAACCACAAGAAGCAGAGTACGGTGGTACATACTTGTAATCCCACCATTATGGCTGAGGCAGTAGGACTGCCACAAGTTCAAGGCCAGACTGGCTGGACTACATAGTAAATTTAAGTGTGACTATTCCTAAAAAAGTTAAAGCTATACTAAAAAAAATGAATGACTGTTCCTTAAAATTTTATTTATTAGAAAACAAACACTATTTTCTCTGATGCTTGGAAAATGAAAATATTTTTCAAAAGTCACACTTAAAAACTGAAAAAAACTAAGACAAATCAGCATCCTCCATTTTACATTTGAAGACTCATCATACTGAACTTTTTAGACAGTAAATAACCATAATTGCAGGTTAAAGACTATCCAAAATGCTTGGAATTAAATTTGTTTTCATGTATTTTGAGCTTTAGAATTTTGGCATAGGGGGCCATGGAGATGGCTCACTGGAATAAGTGCTTCCCTGGCAAGCACAAGGGCCTGAGTTCAATCCCCGATTCCACAAAAAAAAAATTGGCATATATAAATGAGATACAATGACTGAAGAAAGCCAAATGTAAATTTCATGTTGTACACATAGCTTCAGGTAACATTATCCAATACTTTCAATAATTTTATGAATGAAACAAAGCTTAATGAGTGGGATTTTCCACTTTTGACCACGAAAAAAAGTTTATTTTACTTTTTTTGTACTGGAGATTTTACTCAGGACCTTGTAGTTGCAAGGCAGGTGCTTATGCCACTGAGCCATCTCTCCAGCCTCAGACAAAGTTTCATATTCTAGGTGCATTTTGGATTTTGACTTGAGGATGCTCAACCTGTTATACTTTAAGCTATCTATTGTTGAAATATTAAAAAGCTCATCTACCTGTATAGTAAATAAAAACATTCAAGGGGCCAGGGAAATAGCTCAGTAAAATAAGTACTTTCCTGGCAAGCGCAAAGTCCTGAGTTCAATCCCCAGTTCCACCAAAAAAAGAAAATGTGTATCATCTATGGCAACTCCTTACCAACATCTGAAATATCTTGGGTTCCTTCATCTGGCCCAATCTTTATTTCTTCTTTTTTTTTTTCCAGAACCAGGGATTGAACTCAGGCCCTTGAGCTTGCCAGGCAAGACCTTATTCTACTGAGCTATCTCCCCGGCCCCTTTTATTTTACTAATTTATTTATTTTGGCTTTCTTCATTCCTTTCAGTACCAGATACTGCATCTAGAATCAAACTTATATAACCACTTATTTATTTTGTATTTTTATTTTGAACTGTACAGCCTCAGCCTTAGTAACTGGTATTATAGGCATGAGCCACCATGCCTAGCCCTACCTTGGTTTTTTCTTTGCAATTGGTTCTGTAAAACAAAAGTCAATAAATTATGCTTTTACTGAAGCAAGATGTTAAGGCTGTTCTCATCACGCTACTCAAAACTGACATTATAGTAGAACTACAGTCATAGTATATATAAATATATTCCTGTCAAAGAACATTCCAATAAATGCTAGTACAAGTAGTAGATAAAGTTCTTTAACAACCCTTGTAAGGATTTAATTTCTGATATATTTATCTTTTATCTTATTTCAATTTTACATGCATATATCTGATCATATGATTGAAAGACAACACTATGTATTACAACATACTGTGAAACTCATATTACTTTGTGTATGCTTTAAATGTTAGTGTTAAACTGTATCAGAGGGGGGCCAGGGACATGGCTCAGTGGAATGGGCACTTCCTTGGCAAGCACAAAGGCCTGAGTTCAATCCCTGGTTCCGCAAAAAAAAAAGAAAAAAGAAAAAAAAAAAAGAAACTGTATCAGAGGGGGCCGGGGAGATAGCTCAGTAGAATAAGTCCTTGTCTGGCAAGCACAAGGGCCCAAGTTCAATCCCTGGTTCCACAAAAAAAAAACTGTATCAGAACTTGAACAGTTAACTAGCGAGCCAAAAGTCATTAGTGGGATTACACGTGGGATTACAGATGTCCCACACTTGAAATCCCAGCACTTGGAGGCTGAAAACAAGAGGATCACTATGAGAATGACCTGTATAGGAAGACCCTGTAAGTCCTGTACTAAACACACACACACAAAAAAAATTCCAGGGTCCGGGGAAATGGCTCTGTAGAATAAGCACTTGACTGGCAATCGCAAGGATCTGAGTTCAATCCCCGGTTCCGCAGGAAAAACAAAAAATCCACTCTAGGTTTACAACACAGATTTGTTTGTTTCTGTTTCTTTGTAGCAAACAAAAAACTGATTGGTCAGAACTTTCTAGAAAGGCTATCTCCTTCTGATTATTTTGTAACTAACATGACTAGCATGCTTGTTGAAATCTGCTACCTTGATGTTCCAATGGAGTTTAACCACCTCTGGGGGTCTCAGCTAAGAACGCCTGTCTCAGCTCTGCCTGGAAATCCACCACAGGAATTTGGTGCTGCTGAGAACGTCTGGGGTACAAGTGACACCTAAGACAAAAAAACATTTGTTAAATGGTTTCATAACATTTGCCTACACAGATCACTGTAGGTTTCCACACAAACATGCATGTGACTACTAGATACTTACCAATGTCAGAGATCCAGGGTGTTGAGGCCAGAACCTTTGTATGGAGTGGTAGGTATCCCTATTCCTATATCTTGTTAAATTTTTATTCTAATACAGGGTTTCTTGTGGAGTGCTCAGTTGCCCAAGCAAGGCTTATACCTATATGATCCAATCTTCCAGCTTCAGGTTCTCAAGAGAAATAAATGGGGTCTTCAAATAACTGAAAACCCAAGAGCAATCATCCCTACAGAAACACCCATCATGATACCAACCTTTTTATATTCCAGTTATCCCATATGGAAACAATCCTTCTGCAGTGCAATAGGGTGTGATTTGCTAAATGATTTCTTTTGTAAGACCTTAGAAGAGTAATCTACATTAATAGGAAAAGTCAATATGTGAAAATGCCAGAGTGTTTGCAGAGTTCTTAACTATTTAAATCTTGGGATAAAGTTGGTTCATTAGCAGAATTCTTCCCTCTTAAATTATATAAATCATTCTTAGCTTGCAGAAGTTGCTACAGGAAGACCCTAAACACCAAAGCATCAATAATCAAGCTGTTGCCAGGGTGGTGGCACATGCCTATAATCCCAGCACCATGGAGGATGAGGCAAAAAAGGATCACCAGGAGTTGGGAGGTCTAGGCTATGAGACTTCAAGGCCAGACTGAACTACATAGAGTCACTGTCTCAAAAAGAAAATTAAAAACTAAGCCAACCATGGTGGCACACACCTGTGATTCTAGCACTAGGGAGAGCTGGAGGCAGGAAGATCCCTGTAAGTTAAAGGCCTGTGAGGGGACATGGCTCAGTGGAATAAGCACTTCCCTGGCATGCGCAAGGGCCTGACTTCAATCCCTGGTTCCTCCAAAAAAATTAAAAATAAAAAATAAAGGCCTGAGGGGAAATAAATAGACTGGGGCCGGGGCGATGGCTCAGTGGAATAAGCGCTTTCCTGGCAAGGGCCTGAGTTCAATTCCCAGTTCCCTCTTTTTTTTTGGCGGAACAGGGGATTGAACTCAGACCCTTGCGCTTTCCAGGGAAGTGCTTATTCCACTGAGCCATCTCCCCAGCCCCTACAATCCCCAGTTCCACACAAAAAGACCTGCCTGGGCTACATGAGAGTTTAAGGACAGTCTGACTGAACCTTGAAGGAAGACCCTGTTATCCAAATAAAAAAAAAATCTGGCCAAGATGGCACACCTATAGTCCCAGGACTTAGGAGTCTGAGGCAAGAGGATTGTTGTCAGTTTCAGGTTAGTCTGGGCTACAAAGTGAGCCCAAGCCAAGCCTGAATGAACTGTATAGTGAGACCCTGCCTCAGAAAGGCTAAAAAAGTGAACTTCCATAAATATTCATTGTTGGGGGCCTGGGAGATAGCTCAATAAACACTTGCCTGGCAAATGCAAGAGCCTGAGTTCAATGCCTGGTTCTGGAAAAAAAAATTCATTGTTGGTTTGTAGACTATTATGTTCCAATCTTGTTTTATTCAAATTTGGGGGAGGGTGTAGCTATTAACTTTTATGTGTGCTAATTCTTTAGGGCTAGCACACATAAAGGGTCAAGGAAACGGATGACTGGTGCTTATGGTGTGGCAACAGTGCACAAAATTAATGAGCACAAGTAATCCCTGATTCCCTATGCCTATAAATCCCTGTGCTTAGAAACCTTAAGATAAGGGCTGGTGAGATGGCTCAATGGTGTAAAGCACCTATTTAGAACAAGCTTAACAAAGCACAGGGACCGCGGTTCAATCCCCCAGCACCACATGCCAGCCAGACCCGCCCCCTGGTGGGCTGAGCTGGCCACACACACACACACACACACACACACACAATAAATAAATGTAATAAATAAATATTTAAAAAAAACAAAAATATTGGAAACTGAACTTTTCAAAATCCTGAAGAGGAAAAATATTTATCAAAGTGTTTAATAGCATATTAGAAAGATAAATCATACTTAAGAAATACATGTTTACAAAATTTCCAAAAGAAATCTGCAAAATGGGGCCGGGGAAATGACTCAGTAGAATAAGCACTTGCCTGGCAAGTTCAAGGGTCTGAGTTCAATCCCCGGTTCCGCAAAAAGAAATAAATAAATAAATCTGTATTCCAATGTGTGCTTTTTCTATCGTGTGTGCTTTATACTGCAAAATACTTTGGATTCTGAGTACAACATTTCTGGAACCAGATCATACTCACTCTTGGTTGCTCAAGGAAGCAGTTCGTCTACGTTTCACTTGGACTTCTACCTCTGGCACGTGCTGTTCTGTAGTTCTTCTCAGATGTAAGCGATCCCTGGCTCGCTCCATCGCGCCTCGGCCCGCTCCTCCGTGAGACCTACTGGTCCGAGTGGGCCTGAGTTCAATCCCAGGTTCTGCCAAAAAAATAAAAATAAAATAAAAAATATAATTTAATACTTTTTATTGTAGAATAATATAACCAAGACTATATAGAAAAATACCAACAAACACTTGTGGAAATGCTACTTTCATAAGATTTACCAAAACACCTTTTAAAAAGGAGTGATTAAGCACAACACTACAACCATGAAGGCAGGAGAGACACCTCCATGTTGTGCCCTGCAAACATCCCACAAAATGGCGGCTCTGGGAAACAAGGAAGCTGTGCTCTCCTGGCGGCCATGTTGGGAGCTGTG